GAAGGCGGGTAGGAACTCGACGAGTTTGAAGAACAACTCGGCGAGTTAGTTGAAGATAGCCTTGGACTCGGCGAGTCTGTTCTTGAGGTGTTAGCCTTTCCTGTTAAGCTAAGAATCGCTGAGTCAAGGGATGACTCAGTGAGTTGGAAGGGGGTCCTTTTCAGTGTTGGGGGACTCGGCGAGTCAGCGAGCTCACTTGACGAGTAGGGTCAGCCAGAAGGTTGACTTTGACCAAGAGTTGACCAGTTGACTTCTAAGGGCATTTTGGTAATTGTTAGCTTTTGTTTTGAGTTCAGTGTTGGTGCTAGCCAGTGGTGGAGATCGTGTCAGTGGTCGGAGCATCTCGATCTTATCTTACCACTCAGCAGTTCCGAGGTGAGTTATCCTCACTATATCAAGAGGGTCTAAGGCACCAAGGCCGGCCCTTTATCGGATTGTAATCCGGGTATTGTTGTTATGTTGCTGGTTTACTATGTTTGCATCCTGGTAGTTAGGATGGTATTCGTTAGAGACCTGGTTAAGGTCAGTATCCTGGTATATAGGATGATGCTATGCTAGTGATCGGTTAGGTCGGTATCCTGCTTAGAGTATGTTGTGTTACGTGATCTGCTAGATCGGTTTGATTGAATATGAATTGTTATATAGTTGTATGTTTATGTGCACATGGTTGTTTGATTGGGGTTGGGTTGAGGCGGGACCTGCTTTGTGCTATAGGCCAACATACCCAAGGCGGACCGGTTATTCTGAAGGCCCAACGAGCGGTCCAGATAGGTTATAGGCCCCACGAGGGCGGACCAGACGTGCCGAGGCTCGAAGAGTGGACCAGGCCGACTGAAGGCCCGGTACGGGCAGACCAGTCATACTGTAGGCTCAGAGAGTGGACCAGGTGGATTGAAGACCCGGTGCGGGCGGACCAACCGCCCTGCAGACTCGATGTATATGGCTAGACGCGGAGGGTAGACCAGGTGGATTGTTGGCCGGTGCGGCGGACCTGTCACACAGTAGACCCGATATGCATGGTTGTTCTGCGATTCGATATGATATAGTATGTTATGTGTGTGGTATATGTGGTTGGTATTTTGGGGGTATCTCACTAAGCTTTCAGGCTTACAGTTGTGGTTTAATGTTTTTCAGGCTCTTCAGGAGACTGTGGCAAGGCAAAGGCGTGATCGTACCGTTCCTCGTGTTTGTGTTTTATGATGTGGATCTGGGAGTACTCTGATAACAAATGTATTGAGAATATTTTTGTAATAATATTCTTAAAATGGGTTGTTTTTGAAAAGTTAAAAATTTGTTGAAAATTTCGGTCGTTACAACCACTGTCGTTTCTTTGGAAGTATTTGGAAATTTCTATACAAATCAATTTACTGGATGATTGTTAATAATGTCTTGAAGGTTTTTGCAAATCACGCGGTTAAGGTTTTTTCATATTTAAGACAAATCAACAATTGTGTTTTTCCGGATTTTGCACTCAAATTCCAATTGAATTTCTCAATTGATTATGTGAAATGCTGAAAGCGACAAGATGCGGAAGTTTGGCTTACTTGACTTTTAATTTCGACTATTTGGTTGACATGACTTTTAAAATTAGAAAAATCAGTTTTTATATGTACCATGTGACATATCTACCTGTTAGCTTAGGTAAAAAAGACTAAAAAGCCATGTTCACAAGTTTGTTCCCTTATAAAAGCACAAAAAAAGGTTAAGTGATTAAAAAGGTAAACTCTAACGAGCTTATAGGTTGTATGTGTGATTTTCCCTGTTTTCCAACTATTATAGGAAAGACTTGTTGTACTACTTTATTCAACTCATGTTTCCTCGATATTTTCCAAAGTACCAAATTACCTAATGATATTAACCTCCTCGATATTTTCCAAAGTACAAAATTACCTAATGATATTAACCTCTTATACGATATACATCATGTAGAAAGTTTTTAAGATATTTAAATTAGTTATTTACTTATATATTTTGAGAGTTGTCAATTTATGAACTTCAATAAGGACTAGTCTAGATGGGGATCAAAGACGTGTGAAAACATATTCATGCTTAATAGTTAACCTTCTTAGTTTTTACGTACTACTATTAACCTCTTATATGATATATATCATGTAGCAAGTTTTGAAGATATTTAAATTAGTTATGTACTTATTTATATATATATATATATATATATATATATATATATATATATATATATATATATATATATATATATATATATATATATATATATATATATATATATAAATATTGACGGTTGTCAATTTATCAACTTCAACAATGACTAGTTCAGACAAGAATCAAAGAAGTGTGAAAACATACTCATGCTTAATAGCTAACCCTTTTAGGTTTTTACCTAGTGCTATTATCTTCTTTTATATATATATATATATATATATATATATATATATATATATATATATATATATATATATATATATATATATATATATATATACATATATATGGCCTGCCCAAGGGTAGGGCGAGCTGGGCCGTCGCCCAGGGCATCAATACAACGTCGGGCATCAAATTGCATCTAGCTCTTATGGGTATATCTCATTTGGCCTAAAATTTTGATTGGAAAGCAAAAAATTGAAGGGATCCTGAAACATGAAAGGAATCAGCGCCAATTCTTAGCTAAAAAAAGTTGACGCATTACTGAAGAAGATGAAGAGACTGTGAGAACTACGAGGAGTTGGGAAGACTAGGGTATTTGATTATTTGTGATTGTATGGGCATTATTTTTCTGAATTTCTTCTAGTTTGGCTATTAGCAAAGAGTTGAAGCAATGCTTGTAGACGAAGAAGCAAGAGATGAAGCAAGGTAAGTAGAAATCATAATCGTTGTCACTTGCTCAAAGAGGGCAGTGCCCTCTTTTACAATGCTTGTAGATTAAAATAGGGATAAAAATGGTTGAGTTTCTCTAAAAACGAGGAGATTTGTGATGCTCGTCAATCACTATATGTCTTTTTCCCCACCCTTGTATTATTGTAGGGCGTTTCACTCTCAATTTTAGTTTAATTTGTTGTCGACTTGATTTTAGGTCTCTTATTATTGTTGTAGCAGTCTAGGAGATCAGTTTATTTCAAGGTAATGTTTGTTTGTTGTTTATTTTGTAGTTATAGATCTCTTACTTTGTTGTATAACACAAGAATGATGATTATAGTTTGTCATTTAGAAGGTATTCTTATGTTCTTGTTCATTCCTTTTTCAAATGATGTTTTTCTTGTTAATTAATGTTAATACTTCTATTTCTATTTTGCTATATTTTTGCTTGTCTCAAGATTGGTTGTTGTGCCTCGTCCGGTCGTCCTAATTTCTAATCAAAAGGGTCTATTAAGTTTATATTAGGCTCTTGCTTTGTCCTAGCTTCAAAACCAATGTCACAGTTCATTGCTATATTTTGTTTTGGGTATTTTGCTGGTGTTATACCATGTCTGCCTTGCCTTTTGTGTTGTTGTGTTTTGTTGGTGTTGTATCACTTTTACCTTAAATCATATTAAATAAATTAGAAGTTTCTCATTAATTTTCTCTATAATTTGTTTATGGTTCAGGAAAAATCAAGGGTTAATTGGATTGTGTTACTTCAGCCAAACGTAAGTTGGTATTTTGATTTTTTCCTTGAAATAAGGTTTAGTTTCTTTGTATGTATTTAAATGAAAGTGTTATTTGTTATGTATTATAACTTCATTTGCTAAAGTTATGTTAAAGTTGGAAAAGTGTGCTAGTTGACTTCTTAGGGATTATTATATTAATCTTTTCTTTTATGTGTAGCCAAATCTGAGTACTCTTCTTCAAATCTTTCAGATTTCAATATCATAGGGTTTAATTTGCGTTAGAAAGGAGAGATTTTTTTTTATATCAATAAAAATTTGGATAATTTATTGTAGGAATTGTTAGTTTCCATTATGTTTCTTCTCTGCAACAAGTTCTCATAGGAGATAGGTGGCAGTGAGTTACCAATTGTTCAATATGGTTAGTGTTTAGTGAGTTACCAAATGCTTAAATCTAAATACGGTTTGTGTTTTTGCTGAAGCAAAGGTAAGGATCTAAAATATTTATTTTCCCTGCTATACTTCCACTCTTTATTCTTGTATTGCCTCATTTTTTTTTCTATTTTAGAAACTGATGTGGTACCTGTTTAGTTTTGGTTATACGGTGCCAAAACAGGGGCACTAATTAATCTTTTTGCTCTGGGCATAGAAGCCTTTAGGACCGGCCATATATATATATATATATCATGTACAAAGCTTTTAAAATATTTAAATTAGTTATGTATTTAGACTACTAGGAGTGGACCACACCCATTGCAATTATTGTGCCTCATAACGTGTGATAATGTCAATGAATACCATCATTTCCTCCCGTTATTACACGTTAAAGGTTTCCGTGTTAATTCCTGTTACCACCATCTTGGTAACGGCGTTTTTTTTGTTTTTTAGCCTAGTGCCCACACCCACCTTTTTTATTAAATATTTTGAGAGTTGTTAATTTATCAACTTCCATAAGGACTAGACGGAAATCAAAGAAGTGTGAAAACATATTCATGCTTAATAGCTGGCATTCTAGGTTTTTACCTACTCCTATTAACCTCTTATATGATATATATGATCTAGAAAGTTTTTAAGAATGTATATGGAAATAATTACTGTATATGCTATAGTAAAATTGTTATAAAATATTAATCAGTTAAAATGTTGATTTTTTCTTTTGCAAGAATACAACTCGATAAATCATAATTTACCTCTTCGAAAATAATGCAAATATATTTAGCTAATATATAACTGAATAAAAGTATTTATTGTTAATCAAATATCTGAAACACCAATATAGAAATTTTCACCAACCTTCGAGAAAAAAAAAAAAAAATACATTAAACATATTAATAGTTAAGAAAAAAAATACATATCGAACTTACAATCATATTCAAAAACCATGAACAGAGCTATTTTCATCTCACAAATCTGATCAGTGTTATTTTATTTGTTTATTCACTAATTCTGATACTGATTAAGTAGCTGGTTTGCAATCGTGAATTTCTTTCCAACCATACTGAATCCTGCTTGAGCTGTAGGATCGAAGTTAACATCATCAGTGGGTGAGCCATTGCTAGTTCGATTTCGTTCAACCAAGCCAGTATAGCTCGGCGCTTGCCCATAACTGTCTGGATCGACGATACCATAGACAGATTTGTTCTGGTGCACAAGAGCTGAATAACTACCACCGCCGGCGACTGCTTCAGGCGAGTACTCACGGTTGCTGTCCGCGTTAAGTTGATTACTCGAGGGCACCACCGGACGTAGAGCTATCAGTTCTGGAGCTTCAGCAACATATCCGACAATCGGCACCGTGCGTTGAGCAATCGGTGGGAATTGCTGTTGGGAACTTCCAAAAAATACGGAAGAAACGGTTGGGGGTGGTGCTTCAGCTGCTACCTTTTCACCTTCTTCCGCATAGTCAGGTTTTAAGCTCCTAAAATCTCCGGAGGACATGGAAGGAGGTGGACTGTCGTTGAAACTCATTGCCGGAAGAGGTAAGTTTTCCGATGGGGTATTGAGTACAGAAGTTAGATGGGGTATCTATAGAAAGGAGATATATTAGTCAAAGTCAATGCTTGGGGAAGATTTTATATAATATTAGAAAAAAAAACTCTCACTTTTATTACGCCAGCTAATAAGATTATATAATATAGTTTTTTTTATTTAATTGTTTAATATTAAGTTTGTATATCTATTTTAGATAAAAGTTTGTCGACATATACCACTATTATGCACACATGTAAATGTATGTTTTAGATAAAAGTTTTATCGAGATAGACACTATTATATACACATTTAAATGTATGTTTTAGATAAAAGTTTTATCGAGATAGACACTATTATGCACACATTTAAATGTATGTTTTAGATAAAAGTTTTATCGAGATATACTAATATTATTATCATTAGATTAGATGTGAGATTCATTTATTATATGAGTTTATTTAAAAAGAAAATTAAATATTAAATATTAACAATTTGAAAAGTTTGAATTTATAAGAAAAATAAGAAAAAAAATTTAATTATTAAAGTTAATAGGGTTTTAATACATTGAATAGATTGCATATATAAATCATTTTTAATAAATACCTTATATATATATTACCTTAGATATTAAATATGGAATTTTTAATTTAATAAATTGAAAAATATAATAAGATTACAAGTGGAAAATAGAAAATTCAAAAATTGTAGAAAATATCATATATCCAAATAAAGGAAAAAGGGAACATGTGACAAAAAGATTTTGATTTATTAAAAAGAATTTGTAAATGTCGTCTCATTTTCCATTTACATTGTTGTAGTTCCGATGTCCTCTTATTTCTTTTTAGCTGAAGACTTGTTATAGAACTATTAGTCTAATAAATTATTTAAACTCATTTTATGTTTCGGGCTTTGTTTAGCCCTTTAGCAATTTCTAGTTTATTGTTTTCTCAATCTATATTGTTTTCTTTAGATTTCTCTTTTGTAACATTTATTACTATCAATATGAAAACTCTAGTTCTCTTTTGTTAGATTACATGGTATCAGAACACCGTTGATCATTTGTATTTTCAAAATTTTTGAGTGTTTGAGTATGGTTTTCTACTTTGTTTCTGTATTCTACTTGGTATAATTTTTTCGATTTTGTTGATTTCAAGATCTTGATTCTTACTGCTGCTTTTCATATTTGATTTTGGTTTTGCTTATTTTTTTGTTTGACTGTTATTGGCAATATAGCCCCAAGAGATCTCTTCAATCGATTACTACCCAACTCGATGGCAAAAACTAGGTTTATTGGAGTTATGTTATGAAGAATTTCTTGCGAAGCAAGAGTATGAGGGGGATTGTTACACGTGATAAAAAAAAAAAAAAAAAAAAAAACTAACAAACGACAAAGCTGCAAATTTGTAGTCTTATTGTGTTCATGGTTGACTAATAATTCCATTATTATCACTTATATTAACAATTATGTAATTCAGTTAATTAACACCTAGTTGGTAAAATATGAGACAAAAAAAAGTTTGGCATCACTTGGCTAGACTATACATTCAGTCTAATTTTCCAAAATAATACTAGTTAGAATTTGATATTCGAGCCCTCCAACAAAACAATACGAGTATTCAAGATTTTTATGCTTCTATGTCAGATTTATGGGATCAATTATCCCTCACAGAAACTGTTGAGCTTAAGGTTTTTAGGCCTTACATTGCTAGAAGGGAAGAACAACGATTGGTTCTATTTTTTTGGCATTGTGTTCACATTTTGAAGGCTTACGTGGAATAATTCTTCATCACATCCCTATTCCCGCGATTGAATCAATTGTTCATTTAACACTTGGATCCGGTTATGTATTTAATTTATTAATTATTCAAATTATAAGAGCAACTCGACGAGTTGGAAGCCCCAAACTCGTCGAGTAAGGAATATAAGGGTGTCACAACCCAAACCAGAACGGCGGAAATGTTTAGGGGCGGAGTATATCATGTTCAATATCATAATAATGCACAATAGTAAAACAAGCAACAATATCATCCATTGCATTAATAATATAGTTAATACAAGTGTGCATTAATAATATAGTTAATACAAGTGTGTTTAGAATGTATTTGTAAGCCAACAAAAATAGAAATATCAAAATAAAAGACGAGACTTGAACATGCTCCGTCTTCTCAAAACCTGGTCTAGTGTACCTGTCTACTGGTGACCTCAAAATACAAGTTATTTTGAAAGAGTAGATCAACATTAAAGCTGGTGAGTTCATAAGTATTTTTGTGTCAAATGTTTGCACAAGTTTGATGAAAAAGTTTGTAAATTTTATGATGTAACTGTTTGTATACATCCTAAAAATCATATATTTTCTACTAAAATGGAAAGTAGTCTTCTACAATGACTCGATTGTTTTGTATGTTTCTCCTTTTGTAAAAATGAGTTTTTTCCCAAGTATATAACTATCATTACCAGAAAATAGTCTACATCACCTTTTATGTGAGAAGATCACTATATGAATGTACATGGGAAAATGATGATGTACAATAGTATTGTATAAAGTAACTACTAAACTACTAACTACCTTAAAACCAACTTGTTTAATTAAGGTAAAATGTTATGAGGTTATAACCACGCTTGATTGACTATTATAAAACACGACGTTCCAAAGACATCGACATGGTATGACATTTGTCACCTGTAGACCTGCAAGTCCCACTATAGCTAGTAGCAAGGTGTAGGATGGTCAATCCCGTATAGATCTATACACAAACTCACGCTCTCCCTCCACGACACTCAGGTTACAAAACGTGACACGGCAGTATCTTGCTATGCCATGAAGTAGTGGCTCACATTAATGTTATTTTGTTCTTGTGTTAGTATGTATGTTCCTTCATGTTCTAGTGTATAGTATGTTCCTTTTGGTCTTGTTATAGTGTGTTCATTCTTGTTCTAGTTATAGTATGTTCCCCTCTATTCTAGTTATAGTATGTTTGAACTAACTCATGTATGAACTGACTTTTGTAAGTTTTATTGTTCTAGAAATAGTAAGTAGTAATCCTCTAAAATATACCTATTATAATTTACTAGTATGATTGTTTGACTGCCACTGATGTATAGAAAAGACTCAATTACTCACCTAGCAACTAAGTCTGTTAAAGTATACTTATACATAAATAGATAGACGAATATGATTTGATATAGATTTTTCAACAAGTTTAAGTATAAGAAATCCTTTTGAATTTTGTTTTCACATGTAAATGATTAACACAATTTCATTGTGTTATACTTATCCCCCCTAAAATTAGTTAAAAGTATTTAAAAGTGTAGTTGTAGGGGTATGAACTCACCTGTAGTGAGTGATTCGAATGTAAGATCATTATAGGATGTTAAGTATGCCAAGTGAAGTCTCGAGCACAAATAGATCCTATTAATCATATAATGACACATATACACATACAATTAGTGTATATAACAACTAACATGCTAAGGTAAACAACCATGGGAACTAGGAAACACTTGCAATGAAGTGTTACAATCACATATGATTGATTGAAAGGAGTTCACAACCATACAAGGAAGTGTTCACGGCCTTAGCCTGGTTCACGGCCATAAAACACATGATGTGTTCACGACCCAACCTTGTTCTCTTGAAGGGTTTACAGCCATGGAAGGAGTGTTCATGGCTAAACCATGATCTTATGAAGGGTTCACGGCCCAATGAAGGGTTCACGACCGTGAACTCTTGAAGAATCATGCTAAAGAGGTGTTTGTTTCATGGGGATGCTAGTGTTTCTAATGGACAATAAGAAGATGAATAAGATACTTACTTATTGGAAGCCTTGAGAGTGTTCACGGCCCAAGAACTAGTATGTGTTCTTGGTGGAAAAGATGGTGATTTGAAGATCTTGATGGAAAAGTGATGAATTCAAGGATGCTATCAAAAGGCTTCATGTGAATAAGAAGAATAACTAGTAAAAAGGGGTGTACCACTTACATTTTTGAAAAGAAGGGAGGGTTTCCCTTGATGATACTTGAGAGAGTCTGAGAGTTCTTGGTTAGAAGTTGTGACAAACAAGGAAATAATGAAGGAAAACTATGTATGTAGTGAGGGGTTCACGACCAAACTTGGGTTCACAGCCGTGAACCTAGTTTACGGCCGTGAACATCCCTTGTTGATGTTCGTGGCTCGAATGTATTCCATAGATCCATTAGTCATACTTCTTAGTATCAGATCCTAAGTGTACAAGGCTTAAAAAGTCATAGAATAACCTTTAAGATCACTAGAAGATAACAGAAACAAGTCTAAGTTTTGATTAATTTGCTTGACTTACAAGATAGAAACTTACGGGTTGTCACAATGGGCCGCATAAATAAGTTACCTACTCGACGACTTGAGAGGCCTCAACTCGACGAGTAGACCGGCTAGGATGAAACCCTAATTTCCATGGTTTTGCACCCTATTTAACGAACTTAATCTTCCCACCATCCCCTTATCGACTTCCCTAAACCCTAAATCGAATTGCGAGCTTCTTGTTGAAAAACTAGAAGTTTGGAGTGGATTTTTGTGTGTTCTTGTTCTTGGTGAAGGACTTGGAAGAACTAGATGGTCATTGAGCTTGAGGATAAGCACTAGATCTGGGATCTCATCCGTCATTGCCAACTATCTGAGGTAAAAAGTCTCAAACTTGATGCTTAGTACCTTAGATCTCTCTTAGTTTTGTTTTATGGATCTTTTTGACCCCATTGTTGGAGCATGCTAAACCTTTCTAGTCCTGATGCAAAAAATATCCATTCTCGGTGTTATTTGGTCCTTAGATTCATAAAAGGGTCCTAAACTCGTTCATGTTAAAGAAAATACCATATCCATAGAAGTAGGTTGTTATATCTCGAGATTAGGTCCATTTGAGGCATGCAAAGCCATCAAGTTGTCAACTTTACATATGTATACCATATAAACAATGTAGATCTATATTCTGGAACCTTAGATATAAGGAAAGGGCTTAATAGACTAA